CACCATCTATCTATTCATTGTTCCTGGTTCTGCCCTCGGAGGCCAAGCAGAACAAGTTTGATTCCTTTTCCATACAAGAGTCTTTCCAATACTAGAAGATAGCTATTAGGTTCTCCCTAAGCCTCCTCTTTTCCAAGCTAACCATCCCCAGTTCCTTCAACTGATGATCCTACGGCATACCTTGTAGGCCTTCATCAGCCTGAGCGCCCTTTTTCTTGACATGATGTGCAATGTCCCTCCTAAGATGGAGAACACAGATCTGAATGGGGTTTTGGCTGCAATGTCATACTATTGACATATAGTGGATGTGCAGTCTACTACAATTCCCAGAGTATTTTTATGGGAATTGTAGTTTAGCCACATCTACCACAGTAGGTACTTAATAAACACTTGATTGATTGATTTCCTCTATTAAATTTGTCTATTAAAAATTTATCTCATTCGGTGCAGTCCATTGTTCTACTCCGTAGAAATCACTTTGGATTCTATCATTGCCCAGCTATGTGTCAAATGCAAATTTGAGAAAAATGACATCTATAGCTTCATCTTAGTCACTGATAAAAAATATTGAGCATTACTGGGCCAAGGACAGATCCCTGACGTGATCCCACTAGAGATCTCCTTTCAAGTTGGTATCAACCTATCAATGATTTCTCCTTGAACCTGATCATTCACCAGTCCCAAATCCACCTAGCTAGCCCTCCTATCTCCATCTGGTGCAGAAGGAGATTGTGAGAGTTTATCAAATCCTTCAGTGAAATCTAGTTATACTATATAAGCATGCTCCAGAATTACCACTCTAGTAATCAATCCCATCAAAAAAGGAAACCTGGTTAATCTGGCATCACTAGTGCTTCATGAAATCATCCCGGCTCTTAGCCAACTCTGCTTCTCTTTCTCACAACCCATCCCTTTCATAATAAGCACATTTTAGAATTTTGCCAGGAATTTAAATCAAGTTCACTGACCCGTAGCTGCAGTCTCTCCCCTTTTTTGAGAGTAGGAGCATGATCTTGTCCAGTCCTCTGAGACATTCCCACTTCTTCCTAACCGTGCAAAGATCGCTGACGGTATACCGATCGGCATCTGTATCAGCAAGTTCTTTCAATACCCTGATGTATAGTTTGAGCTCTTTAGCTAGCTCTCCAACCCCCTTTCCTGCCTTTTTTTCTTCCTCATTGGAATAATTTCTGTTTATGTCTTCAGAATTTCATTCTTGAGAGCTTCCTTTCCACCTCTCCTGAATGAAAAACTTGAGAGGAACCCTGGGATCCTCTCTGTCCTTTCTCTGAACCCTCTGAAATATGCTTTTGCAAAATACAATGTGTGCATGTTAGACAATGCTTGTCTTTCTTCTCCTTCTAGATCCCAAATTCTAACATGGAATGATCACTTACCCCCAAGGTCCTAATCATTTCTCCTTCAGCAGCCTTCCCGTTCAGAACCAGGTTTCCAACAGCAATCTCCCTTGCCATTTCCTTAACCTTTGGAAGAATGAAATTATCATTAAGACAAATCAAGATGTCATTAGTTGTTCTATTTTCAGCAAGTAGAACTCCAAGAGATATCTAGAACACTGAATTCCCCATCCCTACTATATCATGCTTCTATACCAAGAAAAGCAGCCGTAAGACTGTACAAGGAACCCAGGATAAAAGCTTAGGGGAAACGTCTTGAGTAATTTTACAAAGAGGAGAACGGGTCTGCCAGCATCCAGGCGCTGTGAATCACCCCTTTGTCACGTGTGTTCTCTAAGCTGGAGCACATTTCCCCCTGGACTCTATAGAGACGAATGGGAAAATGTATCATAGACTTTGGGGGGATGTGTTTGTGCCAACTGTTCTTACTACTACTTTAGCAGATACCCCTTTCTAAAAGCTAATTAAGTCTGGCTGACTAAGATCAACTGATAATTAGGGGAAGCACACACTGCTGGGGGCTTGTAAACAATAATAGCATTAGAAAAACAAACCCTCAACTCCTCAAGGATTACCCTTATGACCCTGAAGAGAGATATAGTAGCCATGCTCTGAATTGCTAATTTGTCTGTGCCAGTGGGAGTTGAGATAATAACTCCAGAGAATGTAGATTTTAAATTTCCCACTTTTCCTCTATAATAGTTCACTTAGGTTTTGTTTAGCAGTTGGCAGATTCTGCCTAGTTCTACTGCAAACAGAATTCTCCACTTTCTTCTAAGAGTGTCGAGCAGAAATCTAGACAGCAAGGCTTTATGGAATGACCCTATAAATTAAATCGCTTCCTGGTGACTTTAGATACTACCATTTCCCAGGCTTCAAAATCCTCCTCCAACAAAGTAATCTTCCTAACACAGAGATCTAACCTTATCACTACCCTGTCCAAAGTCCCTCAGTGGCCCCCCATTGCTTACCAAATAAAATACAAACTTCTTAGTCTGACATTTAAGATTGCTGGCAAAAGTCTGCCTCCAGCCTAACCAGTTGACCTTTATTTTTAATCATAGTTTATCCCTAAAATGCACTCCTAGCCTAAAGTAGTTTCCTCAGCTATAAAAAGAGGAGGTTGGACTAGAACCGAGGTATCAACCAGTGGGCCTGAAACTGATTAAAATGTAATTGGGACAAAATTAACAAAATAAATACAAATATGATAGAACATGAATAATGTTAATATGTGGTTTTCTAAGTGGCCCCACTTCTGTTTGAGTTTGGACTATATAACCTATATACCTCTATAAAGTCCCTGCCAGCTCTAAATCTATGATCCAATTTAATCTGATAATGGACCAAATATGATCATTATAACTGAACTTCACTGTCCTATCATCTGACTTGGTCTGAGAGTCAATGAGTCAACAAGTATTTATTAAGCACTTCCTGTGTGCAGCACTGGGGATACAAAGACAATAACAGTTCTTGCTCTCTCAAGGAGCTTACTTTCTATCGAAGGAGACTTGTAACTAGCTAGATACATACTTGGCACAGTCAGAGTAGATGAATGGTCATCTTGCATGCTAAGGCCTCCTGAAGGTGAGAGTTAAACTGAATCTTGAAGAAAGTCAGGGAATCTAAGGGTGAGGGGGAGAGCATTCTGGGCTTTGGGGACACTCAGTTCAAAGGCATAAACACAAGAAATGTAGATTGGTGTACAACAACAATAAGTTACTTAAAAAAAAAAAAGTCGCGTGGCAACTTGATGGTTGACTGCAAACAATGCCAAGAGTCTCTACATTCTAGCCCTGAAGATGAGCCTTAATAGGGCCAAACAGATCTACCAACACATCAGTGAATCTGATCTCTCCTGCCAGGACATCGAGCCCTACAGCCGGCCAAGCATGGTGCCCGCGGATGACAAAATGGGTGTTTTCAAGCTCCTCCTTTTGCTGCCCCACCCTAGGCAAATTAAGGTCAAAACCAGACAATTCTTGGCCTAGAGCAGGTAAGATTTAAGAGGATGTAATCTCCATCCAAGTATTTCAAAGATAATCACATGGGAGATTATATATTCTTTACTCAGCCAGGCAAAACTAAGAACAGGCGATGATGTGAAGATACAAATTTAGACTTGATGTAAGGGGAAATTTTCCAATAATCAGAGTTATCCAAAATAAAATAGGCAGTCTCAAAAGATACTGGGTTTCCCTTTGTTGGAGAGGTTCTCACCTTGGGATCAAGAGACAGAACTATTGACATTCACTAGGAGATAAATGAATAATTTAGGTGTGTGGTAATAAAAGGTTGGACTAGAGAATGAATGATACAGATGCAGGGAAAAAACACTAAAAAACTGAAGAAATAATAGCCCATTTATAGAGTGCTTTGTTGTCATCTCTGAGATAGGTGAATACTATCATCCCTGTTTTGCAGATGAAAAAATTGAGACTGGGAAGAGTTAAATGACAAAGCCAAGGTCACCCCTGTGTTTGAAGCGGGACACCCCTTCCAGGGCTCTTTCCAATGCTTCCCAGAAAGGAATTGGACTCAATATGTTGTACACAAGGAACAGTTCTCAGGTAACATACGGGGGGGGCTGAGAAGGACGGTCCCAAAAACAAAAACTGAGATGACAGGAAGAGAGCCAGTCTTGAGGGAAAGATGACCAGTTATCGTTGAATGGGGGGTGACGATGGAACATCCACTTGGAGATACAGGACTGGACGAAAGTTAGAGACCGAGGTTCCATATAACACAAACCCAGATTTCCAGAATTAAACAGCCCTTTCCAAGGAAGGGAGATAATTTCGTATTTTCATTTTCACTTTCAACTGTGCTATGAAATGTTCAGATATTCTGGTTTTAGAAGGTCCCGGGCCAGGATAAATCTGGCCTGGGGTTTCGCTAAGCCAGTGGGGAGAGGTGGGAGGTGGGGGAAGGGAAAGGGGGGGAGGGGGAGGAGGGGGGGGGGGGGCTCAATGGCCCCCAAGGCCCCTTCCCTCTCCGAGCCGACCGTGCCAGACAAGATGACAGGTGGAGGGCCGGACTTTGGCCTCCCACCTCGGGCATTTTCTAACGGCTGCTTGACCCTGGCAGCGTCATTTCTTCTCTCTGGGCCTCAGTTTCCCCACGTGTCAGATGGGAGGGGAGCTGGGTCTAGAGGGCCCCTGAAACGCCTTCCAGCTCGGAATCGATGAGCCTGTGGGCCTGTGTCTAAGAAGCCACTTTCCCTCCCTGAGCCTCAGTTTCCCCCTCTGTAAAATGAGAAGGTGGGGTGGCGCACTGATGACGTCGGGCCTTCTCCAGCTCGCGGCTGAAGGCGAGGGCAGGGGAAGGTTGGGGGATGGGGGACCCGCGGACAGTTAAACCGCCGTCGCCGCCGCGCGCGCTCGCCGGGAATCTGCGGCTGCGCGGAGAGCGCGCGCTCGCCGGGAATCTGCGGCTGCGCGGAGAGCGCGCGCCGCCTGCCCCGCCCCCATCCCCATGAAAACGGAGGGGTAGCGAATCCTCGAGGAGCTTCTTCTCGGCCACGCCCCTTCACCGCCGCGGATCCCGGAGTCCTGGCAACGGCGGCGCTTGCGGGCTGGGGCCCGGGCGGGGCAGCCGGAGATGCGTTGCCGTGCGGGGCCGGCGTCATGCTCAAGGCTAAGATCCTGTTCGTGGGGCCTTGTGAGGTGGGCGAGGCGGCGGGGGAGAGAGGGGGCGGCCCCCTGAGCCTCAGTGTCCTCCCTTAGGAAACGGGGGGCGGGGAGCCCGGCTCGGATCCCTCCGTCCTGCCTTGGGGCAGCTCGACCGGGGTTAGGGGGAGAGGGAGGGTCTGGAAGGAGGCTCCTGGGCCAGGGGCGGGGGACAGATTGGGAACCTGAGGCCCGGGGTGGGAGCCGTGTAATCCAGCCCCCTCGTTTGACAGACGTGGAAACTGAGGCTTGGAAAGGGCAAGGGGCTTGCAGAGACGGTGGAATGGTAGGTTTGGCGCCGAAGGAGACCCCAGAAACCATCCAGCCCAGCCAGCTCATTTCGGGTCGTCAGTCAACAGGCATTTATTCAATACTCCTCTGGTCGGCTCTGCGCCAAGGACTGAGAATACAAAGAAAGGCAAAAACAGTCCCTGCCCTCAGGGAGTTTACATTCTGTTGGTATAGATGAGAAACTGAGGCCCAGGGAAGAAGGATCATAGCATCAAAGATATATAGCTGGAAGAACCCTTAGAACAAGGATTCTTAACCTGGGGCATGAAATTTAAAAAAAAAAAGTTTTGATAACCATATTTCAATATAATTAGTTTCCTTTGTAATCTTATTTTTTTTTATAAATTTGAAAACATTCTAAGACGGGTCCATAGACATCACTTGCCTTCCAAAGCGCTCCAAGACCCAAAAACAGATGAAGAATCCCCGCCTTAGACGATCAGCCTCTCATTTTGCAAATGAGGAAAGTGGGGGCCAAGGAGATGAAGTCATTTGATAGAAATCATAGGATTACAGATCTCAGGCCAGAAAGACCCTTAGAGGTCATGAGGAAACTGAGACCCGGAGGTGAAAAAAATACCTTGCCCAAAGTTACACAAGTAAAACAGAACACAGCTAAGACTCAGAGTCATGTGCTGTGACCCCAGTTTCCATTGCATTATGGAATCCGATGTCCTCTCCCCTGCCTCTTTGACCTTTATTTTATAAAGGGACATACAGTGACTTTACCCAGGTCCCACAGGTGACAAGTCCCAGGATCAAAATCCCATGACTCGAGCCTCAGATTTTCCTACTGAAGGGCACTGGTCCTGGGAGTAAGGAGGAAGTTTAGGGAACATGCAGTTGTGGGATCATGGATGGAAGCCAACCACTTCAATCATTTTACTGTTGAGGAAACTGAGGCCGAGTGAAGTGACTTGGCCGGTTGTAACGGGGATTTCTTTTGGAGAATGTGTTGGACTAGATATCAGTTAAGGGCCCTTCCAATTCCCCAATCGCGTGGTTCTGTAAACCCAGCCTTTAATGGGACAAAATCCAAATGCTCTCACTTTGTACAGAGCGGCAAAACGGTCCTGGCCAACTTTTTGACAGAGTCCTCCGATATCACTGAATACAACCCAACCCAAGGTGTGAGGTGAGTTCTGAGCCCTGAACGCTCTGTGTTCTGAAGACTCTGCGGTGAGCACCACACCCATCATCTCTCCCAAACACATTTGTGTTTTTAGGATCCTGGAATTTGAGAACCCCCAAGTAGCTAGCAACAACAAAGGGATAGGGTGTGAGTTTGAGCTGTGGGATTGTGGAGGAGACACAAAGTAAGTGTTTTCCGGTTTTCTTCCAAGGGGGAGGGAGAGTGAGTGAGTGAGTGTGTGTGTGTGTGTGTATGTGTGTGTGTGTGTGTGTGTGTTCCATTCATGTCTGACTTTCTGTGACGCGTTTTGAGGTTTTCTTGGCAAAGATGCTGGACTGGTTTACTGTTTCCTTCTCTAGCTCATTTTACAGATGAGGCAGACAGAGTTAAGTGACTTACCCAGGGTCATACCACTAGTAAGTGTTTTAGGCTGAATTTGAACTCATGAAGATGGGTCTTCCTGATTCCAAGCCCAGTGCTCTAACTGCTGTACCACCTAGCTGCCCTTGTGTATGTGTGTGTGTGTGTGTGTGTGTGTGTTCACACGGATGCTCATAAAAATGGCCTTCTGTAAATGCAGTTTGTGACCTTAAGTCTGTAAATACCTCTTCTTGGCCTTTATGGGCCAAGATCAAGCATATTCATCACCATACACACAAGACATTATAAGAATCACCCCCACCTGACAGGACTCTCTTCCTTCTCTGGAGGTTTGAGTCGTGCTGGCCTGCCCTCATGAAGGACTCTCATGGAGTGGTGATCATCTTCAATGCCGATATCCCCAGCCACCTGAAGGAGATTGAGATGTGGCATTCTTGCTTCGTGCAGCAGCAGCTGTTACAAGACAGTCAGTGTCTCTTAATTGCACACCATAAGCCAGGCTCAGGAGGGGACAAGGGCAACCTGTCTTTGGGTAAGGAGACCAAAAATGCTCATTTTAAATAGATTTTTAGTTCTTTTCGCATGTTTTCTCAGTAGCCCATTATTTTTTTTTTTTCAGCACTTCTCACAGTGCCTTAAATGTTAAGCGCTTGAATGTTTATCAAACTGACCTGGATCTGATTCTTACAGTCTTGTGGTCTTCATTTGCCATCTTTTTCATTGACCGTGGCTCCTTGGCTGTCTATTTAAAAACCTGTCGTTTGAACATAATCAACCTAATATCTATCATAACATTTAAAGACCACCTCACCCGACCCATTTATATAGACGGGAAAACTGAGGCCCAGAGAGATTAACATCTTGATAGATAATCCCGAAGTGCAAAAAAAAAAAAAATTGACACCATCCTCCGAAACGCTGATTGAGTATCCCCTGTATGTAGGGAATTTTATGCGAGGTACTGTCCTGTTATGTATACTAGGATATCAATTTACTTGAAGAACTGGACATATTACAAACAGGTAGACAGCAGCAAAGATAAAAGGTGAGTGATCAGACCTGAGATTTCACTGGTTTAGGGAAATCCATGTCAGCAAACTGTCTCAGAGTTGCCTGGAGCTAGCCCAGAGTTACAGAGCTTGCATATCTAAGAAACCAGATAGGAACTCCCATCTTCCTGGTGCTCCCCCCTGAAGCACACTACCTAACAGATAAAAAGAAAAAAAAAAAGGAACGCTAAAATGAAGAACATTTAATTACTGTATTACTGTAATTAGTTATAACTTTAGGCATGATAGTTGAAATTGGTCCTGCTTGCTGAACTGGGCAATGCAAATATCTCTTCAGGTTCCATTCTGGTTCTGAAGTTTTGTTTTTTCATGATTTCTCAAGTACATTTAATGAACTTTTGTTCAGTGGTTGAAGATAAGTAATAGCATTAGGCATTTCCTTTTAATCTCCTATCTTCGCTGTGGCAAAGTCAGCTTAGCTAATTAACATTTTAAAAAAGCTTATTTAAAAATAATTTATCTCAAAAAAAACCCCAGTCAGCCAGGTGACTTATGTATTACTGAGGTGGTCCTGTATAATAAACATTTAGGAAATTTCCATAATTGCTTTTATTTTGCTCCTTAAAAAGCTAGGTGGCAAAGTGAATAAGAGCACTGGGCTTGGAATGAGGAAGACTCATCTTCATGAGTTCAGATTCAGCCTCAGACACTGCCTAGCTGTGTGACCTTGGGCAAGTCACTTAACCCTGCTTGCCTCAGTTTCTTCATTTGTAAAATGAACTGGAGAAGGAAATGGCAAACTACTTTACATCTCTACCAAGAAAACCCCAAATGGGGCTACAAAGAGTCAGACGTGACTAAAAAATGACTGAACAACAAAAATTGCTCATTGTAAATGCCTGAATCATCTAGTCAAAGTAAACTGAAAATCAGTCTCTAGACATTTATTATGTACTTCCTGTGTGCCAGGCACAAAATATGTGTTAAGGGATTTTGGTTTTTATTCTGCATCAAAGGGAATGGGGTCTGTAGTTGGTAAGGTCTTCCTTACCACCCAGTAGTGGGCTGGAGGTGGGGCTGTGAAGCCTATGGTGCTCTTAAACGCACTTTAAATACCATTTTGTTTTGAAACATTAGGAAATGCCAGAGAGTGGTTCTTCAAGAGCCGCATATGGGACTAAGAGCTTCCAGTGGGTCCCGTCTCTCCTCGCCCCCACCCCACCTGCTTAGTGGTTTCCTCCTCCAAACCTGGCGCCACACTGCTCCAGTGTCCTCAGGTGCACGTCGGAGCAGATCCCTCCCTCAGCAGACTCCACTGGCTCGCTGTCACTGTCAGCACCAAACGTCAACTGCCCGGCTTGCTTCTGAAGCCCCTCGTGACCGGGCCCAGCCTCTGCTTCCAGCCTGATTGTGCTGGGTTCCCCTTGCTGCACCACGTGGGGTGCTCTGTCTCCCATCTCTGAGCCTCGGCACTGGCTGTGCCTCATGCCTGGAATGCACTCCCTCCTCCCCTCAGTTCCCCTGGACACAGCCCACATCCCCCACCCTCCTCCCACCTTGTGCTTATTGGGATCCAGCTCGTCATATTCAGCCTGTGTGTGCTCAGATGTGTCAGAGTGGGGACTTTGACTCTGGGTGCTGAGCACCCCACACAGTGCCTGGCACGTAGTAGGTGCTTTAATACATGATTGATTGCTTCTGTTCCTGTTTTCAAAAATTGCTTTGAAGCTCTGTGCATAATTATACCTCCCTGTTTCACTTTATAGCCGCGCCTCTGAACAAGCTGAAATTGGTACACTCCAATCTGGAGGAGGAACCCGAGGAGATCCGGATGGAGTTCATCAAGTACTTGAAAAGCATAGTGAGCTCAGTGTCTGAGAGCAGAGATAGGGAAGAGATGTCGATCATTACCTAACTGGTGCTGTTCGTTATTCACACGGGAGTCTTTTTACAACTTTGAACTCCTTGCCTTCGTCTTGGGCACTTCTGAAGTCACCCTCTTGCCCAGATCGTGTCTGGAATCTCTTTGAGGGCAGCGACCCTTTTTTTTTTTTTTGTGACCAAACGAGTTCAGCCAAGAGGTTGTGCCTCCTCCGCTAGAGGGAGGGCCCTATTGGCCAGTGATTCTGTGGATACGGACTGTGCTTTTTGGTTTCAAGAATCCTGTAGGTGAATTTGCCTGCTTCCGATATTGTCAGAAACCTGTACAATCAGGCTCAGTTTTGTGTGTTTAGTCTTGTTTCTTCTGAAAATGCTATTGCTATTGCCCAGTGATCAGTCTGTCCCTCAACAGTTATTGTTGATATATAATAATCAAATGTGTTGTCTTCTCAATAGTAAGCGTAACGGAATGTTTATTTTTATATGGAATTCTGTAATGTTAGGAAAATGATGCTAAATTGATTGGGGGCTTAAAGGCCAGTTTATATAAATAGACTTTCATAAACATCAGAGCATTTTCATCCACATCAAACTTGTGCATTCAGGTAAAAGGGATGTTATGTTTTCATGTCACCTAATTTGTAAAAAATGCTAAAGAATTCATATTCAGAGGTTATAAAGGCATGTGGCTTTCAATTCATTGAATAAGTTCATTTCCATGTTTTTTGAGATGGATTTTCATTTTTTCCCTACTGCCTTTATAATCATCTTAATTTTTGTCATATGTAACCAGTCAGAAATAAACATTCAGTACATATAACTTGAAACTATAACTCAACTCATTGTGTATGTGTATATATATAGACACATATATAAATATATGCACATAAACACAGACACATGTACATTTATATACCTCCTATACATGCATTTTGAGGTGAAAATAGAAAAGAGAAATGACTTTACCTCTCAGCCTCAGTTTCCTTGTCAATAAAATAAGGATCATAGTAACGCCTATGTCATAGCGTATTTGTGAGGCTCAAATGAGATAACATGTAAAGCTCAAATAAGTATATATAAAACACTTTGCAAAACTTTAAAGTGTCACATGAATGTTAATTGTTAGTGATAAATGTGAAGTCAGCCAATCAGATATTAAGTACCTTCTATGTGCCAGGCGTATATTGTATCCTTAAAATGAGGCTGAGATAGAGATGTGGGAAGTCACATCGCTATCACCAGCCGTATCGTTAGCTGCCTCCTTGGGTTCAGACCCACATTCTGTCTCTCTGACAACACCGTCACCACCACCTCAGATTCTCCGTGTCCTCCCCCTCCCCAAATTGTCCCTACGTCATCCTTGGCTGCTTATCTTTGGTTCTTCTGTAGCTGCCATGTTCCATTGCTTATTGCTCTGTGACATCTCCTGTAACTTTTCCCTTCTCTTTATTCCCTCTGCCACCACCCGAGTTCAAGCCCTCATTGTCCCTATATTCATTTATTCAAAAGCCATTTTTGAGTGCCTTCTCTGAATACTCTCAGTCCCAAAGATAAAATAAGGCATATGGTCCCCTTGACTATTGAAATAATTTCCTCTGTGGCTCAGATTATAATGTCAGACCATAAGCTCCTGCTTCCAGCTCAATTTTTCTGAAACCTGCAGGCCTGTATGTAACCCCTCTGTTTAAAAGCTGTTAGTACATCCACATTTTCTATTCCTTAAAGTCCAAACTTCTTTACTTGGAATTCAGGGGGCTCCGAAATTTGGGCCTGATGTTCCTTTCTAGCTTTGCTTTTCACTACACTCCTTTACACACCCTATAAACTAAAGCCCTTTCCTGTCTCTACGCCTTTGCCCAGATTTTTGCTGCTTAGAATGCCCTTTCCATAAATCTCCACTGTCCAATGCACTTGTCATGGCCCAGCTCAAATGCCTCCCACCTTCATGAAACCTTCCATGTCTGGCAGGTGAAAGATGAAATGACGAAGGAAACAGGTTCAAGCTTCTGAGCATTTCAATTTATTGAACAATGTGTGCCAATCGCCCAAGAAATGGGGACCAGTAGCCTTTCTTAGCTTAGGGCTAGACCCCAAATATAGAGGGAGACAAATTTTTAAACATTAAAAACAAGACCAGCTCGTTAAAAGGAAACAATACAACATTAGGTAATCTAATTTGAACTGGAGTCAAGATTAAGGACTTTCAAGTTGAGAGGGGGAGAGCAAACAGGTACAATTTCCTGAAATAAGAAACAGAGATTAAAAAAAAAGAAAAAGAGTGTCCCACTCCTCCCAAATGTCTGTAAACAATCAAAAGAATATGGAAACAACTGATCAGTACGGGACCAGTTTTCAGATAAAGACATATGGGTTGCTTGAGATGTACAACTGTGAGAAAACTCCTTGCATCAATCTTTGGATTTGACTGGGTTTCTGGTTAGCTTAACACATACTTAGGAAAGGGTCTCTGAGCAGTAAGTGTAGGTGGTCCAGTTTCTCAGCCATCCAGGGCTAGGTTCAAACAATACATTTTCTCCCAATTTCCAGTGTAAGGAGCTTAGGGTCCACCCAATCCAGATAGAGGGAATGGGCCCAAGGATGTTCGATAACATACCAGATCACAGGAGTAGTGGCAGAAGCAGTATTTGAAGTTTGGTCCAGAGCATAGTGCTCTTTCCCCGAGTCCTGCGCTTGCATCTCACGGCATGCCTACCTCCCATCTTCAGTAACAGTTATTTGTGTCATATCGTAACTCCCCTCTTAGACAGAAAATACTGCAAAGGCAGGGACTGTGTTTATTTGACTTTCCTTCCCCTGAAGTGCTTTACACATGGCGGACGTTTCAAGCGTTTGTTGAATGAAATCTCAGATCCTGTTAAGATTGTGGCCTTCATACTTCAGTCATCGCGCTGTTTAAATTAGATGTGATGAGTCCAGCCAGCCCTTAATTGTGCACACATGGCAAGCTGTTTGTGCCAGGTTAACTTCCCCCTGCCACCTGACACATTTGGGCTCATTTGTTGGGATGTGTTCAGGATGTTTTTGCCTAAGCCTGAGCACCCACTGTATTCCCACCACATAGTAGGCCCTTAATAGATGCCTGTTGCTTGATTGCTTGCTCCATTAAACAATACGGTTAAGAAGGTAAGCTTTTGGTTACTCCTCACAGCCTCCCTCCCACCAAAAAAAAAAGATGTGCTTTTTGGAATGAATGAATGGGGTGGGGGTGGGGGAGTGTATATTAAGTGCTTGCTTTGTGAGCCCTGCACTAAGTGCTGGAGATACACATAGAAAAGGCAGACAGTCCCTCTCTACAGGGGTTCACACTCTAATGGAGGAGACAACACCTAGAGGAGGTTTCAGCTGCCAGTCAGATGGAAAGGTCCTTAGGGGCCAGCAGCAAAGCAGATGGTCAGACCTCGGACAGAATCCCATCCGTTTCTGATGTAGAACCACTTCAGTGCCAAGAGCTTTCCTTTTGGGGTCTTCGGTAGCTGTGACCGAGGCAGCCGTAGGAGTCGTTGCCAGGCTGCATCTCCTGGGATGCCGGCTGAGGGTACTGGGCTGGAAGCCTTGGGCTCAGGGTCCTGGGATGTCTCCACTGGGGTCTGAGAGGGGATGATGGTCAAGGGGAGTGGATGAACTTGCCTGGCACATGCTGCCTCCTGTCTATCGCCACGTCAGGGTGCCTGGCAGGCTGCTTCAGCTGGGCTGGCTTGCCTGCCCCGTATATCGCAGTCGATAGGGATGGCCAACTCTCCTTGGGAGCTGCTTCCCAGATAGTGGGTGTCAGGGCGGGGCTAGAAGAAGGACCAGTAACCTGGCATGGGCTGCCACTCCCAGAGTTCCCATGCTTATCTGTCTGTTGGTGGCAGTCACCAGCTCCTGCTGGTGGGGAAGATGAGCCCCTTCTCCACAAGGACGTCTCTTCTCAGCAGGGGGCCTGGGCTGGGAGCAGGAGGTCTGGTGGTTTGGAGGGCACCGTTATTCCCAAGGCCCTTGGGATCAGGGTCCTGCGCTGTCCCCATCAGGGTCTAAGAGGAGATGGTGGTCAAGGTGGTTGATGGCATTATCTTTGTCACTCTTTAGATAACTCACTGGACCAAAGAATTAAGAGAATCCCATTTCACAAGTTGAGCAGACCAGTTCTTCATCTGTAAATCTGCTTATGGTTGAAATCTAATTCAGAGGATTTTCATCCATTTGTAACTAGCCATTTCCTTTTCCGTCACGATCCTTGAATTTCCCTGGCTGGCCTAGATTTCTCGCGATTTGTCGATTGAGCTGTTGCTTCGAACGCTTTCATGATACTTGCAACAATACGGGGGAAAAATTACTATTTTTGAGTACCATAAGTACAGCCGGCATTATAGAATCATAGAGGAAAATCTTATCCATGTTTTGAAGACTTATGGTCGCATCAATCAACGATGACTATTATTTAAGGGACAGGGACAGAGAATGGAAGAAGGTGGCCCAAAAGAAGGACGTTCTGCCTCCAAGGATTGGGCATTTGAGCTGAGACAGAGCATGAAGGTGTAACAACCATCCTAGCAGCTTCCATAGTGCTCACGGGGCTTCCCAGGATACAGGATGAGGGTGGTTCAGAGAATGGCAGGAGCGGTGGGACTGCAGAGTTCTCTCGAATTCCACTGAAAAGGCCTGCCACTTAGACTTTTAACATTGTGAACATACGACAAAAATGTGAGAATACTTAAAAAGAAAGACATACGTACGAATGATGGAATAGATTAAATATATTTGTGCTGAGTCCATTGCTCAGTCATTTCAGTCATGTCCAGCCCTTTATGACCCCATTTGGGATTTTCTTGGCAAAGGAATGGCTTGCCATTTCCTTCTCCAGCTTATTTGACAGATGAGGAATCTGAGACAAACAGGGTGAAATGACCTGCCTCTGGTCACCCAGCTAAGTGTCTGAAGCCAGATTTGAACTCAGGAAGGTGAGTCTTCCTAACTCCAGACCTGGCACTCTGTCAATCATAGTATCATGGATCCAGAACAAGAAAGAAACTCAGAGACCACCGAGTCCAACCTTCTCACTTTTCAGATGAGGAAGCTGCAGCCCAGAGAAGGGAAAAGACTTACTCACAGTCACACAGGTCATAAGCATCAGAGGCTGCAACTGAGCCAGGCCACCTGTATCCAGGGCCCGTCCATTCCACCATCCTCAACTGTGTTCCCCCCAGAGAAGAAGGCTACATGATTCCTTCCAGCATCCATTCCTTCCTCTTCCTATTGGCTATCTTGGATGTCTCTAAGCTTAGAAAGTGTTTATCTTACAACGTTTAATAAAAGCACATCTATTGGTCAGCCTTCATGGTTATTTAAGAATAAACTAAGCCCAGTCTTTTCATGCTTGCAGAAATGGAGAAATGACTATTTCAAGATGATTAATTCTTATGCATGGAGGAGATGTCAACATCATCATAGTCTGAGATAGCCTCAATGTAACTAGGAACAGAAACTGTCTTTTTCATTATAGTTGAATAAGGTTGTTGGCTTTCATTTTCCTGGGGAGCTGTAAAGCAGGAAAAAAAATACCCTTAGTTATATCTGATGTCCAAATGCATCTTCCTGACTGTGAAATTAAGAGTTACGTGAACTAGAGTTAATTTCAGTGATTTTTACTCTTCCAGTGAGCTAGATCAGTATTTTGAACCCCAGTTTACAAGTCAAATTTAATCATACATGTGTATGCATACACTGAAAGTAGACACTGAAAGTCTTCCAATGAGTCGATGGCAAAGATACTTTCAGATAGAGTGGCTCTTCATTTTCTATCTAAGTTAGATCAAGTTGCCCTGAACCTCAGGATAAAGGTGAAATCAAGGCTTTCATTTTGACTACTTAGATCGTAAGTTGACTAGATCTCATTGCCAAATGTGGGCAGTTGGGCTAACTTGATAAATCATCCAATGCCAGCGTTGTGCCATGAACAGAGTCGATGCTTGATAAGGGTTTATTTAATTAAACCAAATCCTGGTTTTCATAAGAAAATCAGAGCAACACCATTTATTCTTTTTACATCCATCAAGATTCGCCAGCGCTGTTGTTTTGGACTTTGCCTTATTAGATTAAAAACTTGGGCTGAAAAAAAAAGAGTTGGGGGTGGGGAGGGAATGAGAGGGAGAACATGGCAGCCTTCCTTGAGAGAGAGAACTAGCTGAAAGGTGTAAACTGTAGACTTTGGAATCCGTTGTTTAATTCCATTCTTGGACAGTATATAACTGAATCATCATCATAGCCAACATTTATATAGCACTTACTACGTGCCAGGCACTATGCTAAGCATTTTACAACTATTATCTCATTTGATCCTTCCAATGACCCTGGGATGTAGGTGCTGTTTTGTCCCCATTTACAGATGCAGAAACTGAAGCAAACAAGGATTAAATGACTTGCCCAGGATCCCAGCTAGTAAATGTCTGAGACTGGATTTGAACTCAGGTCTGTACTGACTCTGTCACTCTATCCAGTGGGCCACCTAACTGCCCCCAGAGAAAGGACTCCTGCAGAAGGTGGGATTTGAAATGAGTCTTACAGGGAGCCAGGATGACTAATAGGTGATGGTGAGAAGGGAGTGGGGAGAGACTGGAATCAGGGAGAACAGTCAGAAAGCTACTTCAGTAGAACAGGTATGAGGTGTGATAAGAGCCTGAACCCGGGGTGGTGCTTGTATGAGGGGAGAGAAGGGAGCATGTACAGGATATACCAAGAAGGTTAAAGACGTGGCAACAGTAGGATATGTTGGGTGAGTGTGAGTGAGGAGTCAGGGCTGATCGCTGGGCTGTGAGCTTAAGTGACGAGGCAGATGGCGGGGACCTCGACAATAACAGGGAAGTCAGGGAGAAGGAAGGGCTTGGTAGTGGTAGGGGGTAGGGGAATAATGAGTTCCATTTTGGGCATTTTAAGTGTGAGATGCCTTTGGGACATCTGGTTCTAGATGTCCAAAAGCCAGGGATGTATGATCGCAGTTCAGGAGAAAGGTTAGGGCCGCCTATATAGATCTGTTAATCATTGCACCCATGAGATGTCACCAAACAGGGTGATCCAGAGGGAGATGAACAGAGCACAATTAGTAGGGACGATGGGGCAAAGGACAGACTCGTGATCCAAAGAGAAGAATCAGGAGACATTAGGGTCACAAGTGCCCGGAGAAAAGGGAACACCTAGGATCGTCTCCTCGCTTTCTTCAGCTTCTCAGCTGGAGAGAAGCTGAAATCCCACTTTCTGCATGAAGCCTTCCCCAATCTCCTTAACCTAATGCCTGCTCTCTGAGTCTGTATCTTGTTTGTATATAGTATTTGCACGATGTCTCCCCAGTTAAATCCTCATTTAAATCCAATTCACCTGCTTGCCATGGCATCACCTCCCTGACATCATGGTCCTCTTCAAGAACTAAGGACAAACAACAGTAACAGCCCCTATTAGACTGGGAGCTCCTTGAGGGGAAGAACTGTCCCTTCATTTAGCATTGGCACATAGGCTCTTAACAAATGGTTATTGACTGATTAATCTTCATCCTTGTAAAATAATTGCAAATTCTAGGTGAATTAATTACCCCAACCTGAATGAAACTAGCATTAATAAACCATACTTACAGCGACTAGCTGTATTATCTGCTTGATTTCGGGGAGGCAGAGGGGGTGAACACACGGGTGGTTCGTTGGTGACATTCCTAAAAATACACATGGCTGCTGGTTATTGTTTTATTTATCATCAATGAATTTAAAGAAAAAATTACTGAAAATATACATGGTTGAAAACAGTAGTTTGCTGGTAAATGTTTAACAACCAGTTCTACAGAATTAGCTTTTTCTCTGTCACTTTCAGTCTAAACAATCAATAAAACAATAAATCAGGCTCTGACATTCACACTTGACCCTTGTCAGCTGGTTTGAACTGGCCCCAGCATAGCCCTGGTTGAAAATCCAACATCTGAGTGACTTTTAAAACAACCTAAATTCTGAATATCTTTTGTAACTAATCCTTCAAACACAATTTCAATGGCCATCCTGTATAGAAGGAAATGTGACGCTGAGAGAAAATGGCTGAATTTACAGTCCCAGCCCTAAATCTGTGACCTTCGGCAGCTATGAAACCTTAGAAAGGACCGATATAAAGATTTCTACCCTCCAACTTCGGGTGTGACCTTTTGGCTGAGTCCACATTTTATAGAACAAATCCTTTTATTAAAGGAATTTGTTCTGTGAAGTTTGGAATCAGTCAATGGGCCGTACTTGAGGACCTAGAGGGCCACATGTGACTTCAAGGCCGCAAGTTCCCCACCCCTGGATAGTATATTCTGCATATAGAATATCCTATTTTCTCATTTATGCTTATTATAGAATTGGTATATGTTTCTCTGCACAAAATATTTGATTCAAGACATAAAAATTATACTTAATGTCACTGACTATACAAAGTCAGTATATATAAAGTCAGTGACTATATAAAGTCTCTTGATAGAGTATTAATCAGCATTTTCACAGTATGAATGTCAAAAATATGTTCTTGTTATGTTTAATGCAATAGTTTGAAGATTAATACTACCAGCATGAATATGTAGCCTAAATCTGAGGTATAAGGAAAAAATGGAAATTGACATTTAAACTCTTTATCAAAATTAACTAGATAGGGAATATCTTGTAAAATTGCTGAATCAGGCAAATTTAAAAACTTATTTCACAAATAAGCAAACGAGTGTGACATGGTATTTCTAGTGGCTTTTTACTCTAGCAAGAGAAGAAATCCATTTAGAAAACAGAATGACTGTTTATGGTAACGAAGGGAATCACAAAAAGGCTGAGTTCATAGCCACGGCCTAAGAGGCTAGGTGGCAAAATGGATAGAGGATTGGACCTAGAGACAGGAAGATGTGAATTCAAATCCAGCCTGAGACACTTAGTAACTTTATGAACCTGGGCAAGTCACTTAACCTCTGTTTGCCTCAGTTTCCTGAACTGTAAAATGGGGATACTGATACCTACCTCATAGGGTTGTTGTAAATATCAAATGATCTAATATTTGTAAAGTGCCTGGTACACAGTAGGTACTTAATAAATGCTTACTCCCTCTCCCCTTCAAATCCTGGCTCTGCCACTGAATACCTGTGTGACTCTGGGCAAATTATTTAACTTCTTTGTTCTTTCCTCCTCTATAAAATGAAGGGATTGGATGAGATGACCTCTCTATGACTAGATGAGCAATCCTCTAACTATGATTCTAAACACTAAAAGCTATAGTGTTTGTTGTTGGTCAGTCATTTCAGCTGTATCTGACTCTCCGTGACCCCATTTGGAGTTTTCTTGGCAAAGATACTGGAGCGGTTGGACATTTCCTTCTTCAGCTGATGAGAAAACTGAGGCAAACAGGGTAAAGTGACTTGCCCAGGGTCACACAGCTGGTCTGAGGCCGGATTAGAACTCACAAAGATGAGTCTTCCTGACTTCAGGCCAAGTGCTCTGTGCACTATGGCGCCACCTAGCTGCCCTAAAAGCTATAGTGAGAGGAGGCAAACAATTTTTAAGATGCAAAAGCAGAAGACTGTGACCTCTACCCGTCCATCTCTATTTCTATGACAATAAACACTAATATAAAGATTCTGTGGGGAAGGAGGAGGAAAGGCAAATAATCCCTAACATGCAAAAGCTTAGAATTTTAGTGGCTACTTTAGAGAAAAACTTACTCATATATCGTTTCTTCATCTTTTTGAGTACGTTTGACAGACTTGGAAATTTTCCATTTCTTGCCTAAAGAAAGAACATATTTGTTTATTGATCCAGAAAGAAAAGCAAAGACAATTATTTTGGAATTCATGAAATTCTTAAATCAAAAAATGGAAAAGTTTAAGATGATGGGGATGATCCAAAATTCTAAGCTGCAAGTGCTGAGATAGGCCGGTTCTATTGTGGCGCCATAGAGCACAGAGCGCCGGGCCTAGAGTCAGGAAGACTCAGCTTCGTGAGTTCAAATCTGGCCTCAGACACTTACTACCTGGGTGACCCTGGGCAAGTCACCCTCAGTCTGCCTTGGTTTCCTCATCTGCAAAATGGGGATAATAACCACACATCTACCTCATTTTGCAAACCTTAAAACTCAAGTCAAATCTTTAATATTAAATGAACCTTTAGCTCAAATCAGATCATTAGAAAGTGCTTCCTTATATTCCGAGTTTAGATTTTTAATATGTATCCATCGTTCATAATGCCTCCCCCTGGGACTACATTGAACAAATCTAATCCCTCTTTTATGTGTTAGGCATTAAAATAATTGAAGTAAGTTGTTACGTTCCTGCTAAGACTTCTCTTTCTCCAATCAGGTTCCTAAATTTTCTTCCCCAGTTATGGAGTCATAAAACAAGACTTTTTGCACCTGGGGCACATACCATGTTATGGTTTGGTTGAATGACACAAAGAACACCCTCAGTTGAGCTGGGGAGGAAGGATGAAATACGGTTTCTTTGGAGAGAGAGTCAGAGAACCTGAGACACCAGTGGAGGCCCCTTACAGGAAGGGGATGGGAAAGTACAAGGCAGGATTGGGCCGCCATCTTGCAGCTGCCCGTTTTAACTATTCATTCATATGCCAATTAGATACTAAGAGCCGTTGTTTCTCTGGAAGGATTGCAATCAGCATCCTGTTAAAATCGGTGCCCAAGATCAAAGCCTCACTCATGCTGCCCTAGTTACCACTCTCCATAAGTGTATGCCTGCCCGGCTTTTACCTATCATTTTTCTTTTAAATAAGGTATACCTTAGTCCAACATAGGTCCCATCCACCAAGTCTCAGTAATACCTACGCAATCAAATTTGCCCTCTTGCGTTAGAATCTCTAGTTTGTCTTGCTTGTTACCCGTACTTTGCTGATTTGAAAATGTATAATAAATAAATAAATAAATCATGATTTAAATTGTTCATGTTTAAATCACAGATATCACAGAAATTTAGCAAGGATGCAAAATTAACTTCGGATAAATCATAAGATAGAAAAATCTATGCGGATAATCCAAAATGAATCATGTTTTCCTGTATGTACCTATGAAGGCAGAAATACTGGACTTTATTCATATAAAACCCAGTCTTAATAAACCACCCAATTCCTTTTTTTAAGTCTTGTTTTTACATCACAGATGTTTCCATTTAACACCCCTCTACCTCAGTATTTTTTATTTTTAACAAAGAACAGTTAAGCGTAACCAGTTCACACATTGGCCATATATAGACAACATATGGTATTCCATACCCATAGTCCCCCACTTCTCATTTCCTCTCTTGATCTAAATTACATCACATCTGATTGCTCTTCCCCTGATTTAGATCATCGAGGCCTTGCTTGTTTTACACCCCATCAGTTCGTGTGAGTTTTTCCCTGCTTCTGCCACGTCTTTATATTCATCTAAACCACTTAATTCAATCAACAAACAGGGTCAAAATGGAAGAAAGTAATCAAAGATGTCTTGATTTTTTACTTTTTGACTAATTGGTTTGACGTCATGCAACCTTAGCTGGTGTCTCATGCTGCTGAGAGAAATTAATATTATACTATTATATTAATAACTAACTATTCATTTGTGATCCACCCTTTTCCCATTTGTTTGTGTTAAAACCCATCTCCTGAAAAGGTCAGTCAGCCTCTGAAGGGCGTGGCTGAGTGAGGAGATTTGCTCATAGCCCTCAAGGCACATTCTTGTTAGTTGGGCAGGACCCCACCCAACTGGGAGACCTAATTTCTGTTTAGAGTATATATAGAATCTAGTCTGGGCAAGCATTGACCCAGGGAAAGAACCCCTTGTCCTCGATCCCCTCCATTAGAGTTCAAGGCAACCCAGTTCATGAAGGAGAAACTAGCTAGAAAGGTCCAGATGAAGAGGGCTTTCTCTGCCCAGATGCCTCGAGATTGCTGAGTCTCATGATCGAGCCACATTCTCAGCAGGAGGAGCTGAAGGCTTTTAGCCCACCTCCTCATTAAATGCCCACCAATCAGGATTGATCTTCACTTGTCAGAGAGGTCCCTTACACAAGGGATTGAAGGTACTTTAGGGTGTCCCTTGGCATCTTTGGTTACCGAGAGAAAGCACTGACCATTAATTTACTGATTGCCGTCTAGCCTAATTAATAAATTGATTATTAATTACCCAGAAACTGTCTCTCGAGGTTTTAATTTGGTTCCCTATGGACTCAGAAGTATTATTAATAATAACTCCATGCAAAGTTAAAAGCGTTTAAAATAACCATTAAAGCCACCCCAAAGTGAGGACCATTACCCTTCATGGAGCTGTCGCTCCTCAAATATTAAGCAAATTCTCACCCCTACCCACACCTCTCCAGTTGGACTATTCGTTACCTTGTCTAAGCAGTCTCCTACAGATACAGTACATTACTAGGGCAAGTGTTACTGAAACAAGGATTATTGTTCCAGCCAAGAGGATCCAGAAATTCTCTAGCCACCAGTTCATCGTAATGCAACCCTAAGGAGGAAAAAAAGATGAGGTTAGAAGACCAGCAGAGGACACGGTTGGGGTAGGGGGAGGGGGAAATAATTACCTTGTGTTTTGCTCTCCATTATGCTGTTAACTCTAGCCTAACTGGAGGCTGATTTTCTTTTCTCTTTGCAACCTGGTCCCAATCTGTATTTCCAGCCTACTGTACCCTACTGCCCCTTTTGCATTCTGTGATCAGCCAACCTGGACTTCTCTCTTCCTCTCACAAGACACTCGAATTCCCACTGCCACGCATTTGCATTGGCTGTCCCCCCTGCCTAGAATGCCTGCCCTTCTCACTTCCACCTCACAGAATTCTACTCTTCCATTTAAGATGCAGCTCCAATTCAGCCTTCAACACAGAGCCTTTCCTCATCCCCCAACTGCTAGGGCCCTTCCTCCCTAACTACATTGGGTTTATTTGCTTTTATTCTCTTTATTTTTTTTTTCTGTATAGGAGTGGGGCTGATTTACTCAGTCACGTTAACCCTATCCCATTTTTAAGTCAGTGATACTATTGATGAATCTCAACCTCTGGCTTTAGCCTAAATGGGAAGAGTCTTTGGAACTGGGGGTCCTTGCAAGGAATCATATTCAAAGAAGCTGAGGAAACTGTGTCATGGTCCAGGGTTCATTTGACTTAATGTTTCTTTTAAAACATGGGGAGGAAAAAAGGTTTTCGTGGTGAAAACTAGGTAAAAATAAACAATGGTTTAAATGTTGTCCCATCCAAAGAGATTTATATTTTATAGGAGTCTAAGCTTCACATGGTTGAATTTCAAGCCTTCCTTAGCTGCTAAGAGAAGGGTTTGAGAGGCAGTGAGTTGGGGGCAGCTAGGTGTTGCAATGGATAGAGCACTAGCCCTGGAGTCAGGAGGAACTGAGTTAAAATGTGGCATCAGACACTTGACACTAGCTGTGTGACCCTGTACAAGTCACTTAACCCCAATCACCAAAAAAAAAAAAAAAAAAAAAAGAGGGAGTGAGTCTTTCTTTTTTGTGCCCACTAAAATTACACCACAGGTGATCACTGACTTTACTGATGACAAATTCAGACATGATTCTGTTACAATTGAGGAAGGTATAGCTATTTCTACATCAGGGTATGCTTGGGCAAACACCCACAACCAGCACATCCTGTCTGAACATTACTAACCACCGATCCTTTTAAAAAAATGACTTTTGTTGATTTTCTGTTTTCATATCACCTAGATTTCCCTCTGTATCCCTCCTCCTTCCCTCCTGTCCTAGGGAGCCATCCTTTATAACAAAGCATTTCAAAAGAAAAAAATCAGAGAAAAAATTGAATCAAAATGGATGAATACAAAGACATTATATTCCGTCTTCCATACCCATGGACCCTTCCCTCTGCAAAACAGAGGAGAGAGGTATCTTCTCATCTCTCTTATTTGGGGCCATGTTTGTCCTGGATGATACTGCAACATTCTGGTTTGTTTCTTTTTTGACTGTTGTCCTAGTCATTTATGTTGCTTTAGTCATTAAGTGTAGTGTTTTCCTGGTTCTGTTCATCTATGCATCAGTTCTAGGACTGGAGTCAGGAAGACTCATCTTCATGAGTTCAAATCCAGCCTCAGACACTTAATAGCTGTGTGACCCTGGGCAAGTCACTTAACCTTTGTCTGCCTCAGTTGCCTCAACTGTAAAGTGGAGATAATAAAAGTAGCTACCTCCCAAGATTGTTTCAAGGACCAAATGAGATAATAATTGTAAAGCGCTTATGATAATGAAGACTCTTAAAGGGAGTGCGGATGCCATACCTTGCTGAAATAGGATGTGGACCCGTGGAAAGAGCACTGACTCCTCCTTCTGATGCTTACCTGTGTGACCTTTACATCTCTGCCTCATGGGAGTGCATAGATGGTCCCTTCTGATTCTAGGTGATGCCATAGTGCACAGAGCACTGGGCCTGGAGTGAGGAAGACTCATCTTTTTGAGTTCCAGTCTGGCCTCAGACACTTACTGTGTGATCCTGGGCAAGTCACCTAACCCTATTTGCCTCAGTTTCCTCATCTATAAAACAAGCTGGAGAAGGAAACGGCCAACTGCTCCAGTATCTTTGCCAAGAGAACCTCAAGTGGGGACACGACTGAACAATTAGAAGTCACTACCCCTCCTTGGACCTCAGTTTCTTTCTCTGTAAAAAGAGGGAGTTGGGCTAGACAGTCTCTAAGGTACCTTCTAGTGCTAATCTCTGTGACTTCAGGATCTTCATATTGTCTTGGCGTCCATTTTTAAAACTCGCTTTTGGCCTTGGAAAGGAAAAAAAAAAGGATCCTGTCTCTGATGCCCGTTGGCTTTCTGGACAGCCTTGACGCAGCACAAAAATATTGGGGTCAGTTTTAGTTTCCAAAAATTCTGCTCCGAAGATTTCAGGATCAGGATCATCAGTTTAGGATTGGAAGGAATCTCAGGGGTCTTCTAATCCTACTCCTTCATTTTACAGAAGAGGAAACTGAGGTCCAGGGAGAGGTCCGACAGGCATGAAGTGGCTGAGGCAGGATTTGAACCCAGGGACTCTACTCCAGAGTCTGGGCTCTTTCCATGTTTTGTTGTTCAGTTACTTTTTCCGTCATGTCCAACTCTTTATTGGGGGTTTTCTTGGCAGAGATACTGAAGTGGTTTTCTACTTCCTTCTCCAGATGAGGAAACTGAGGCAAACAGAGTTAGATGACTTGCCCATGGTCACACAGCTAGTAAGTGTCTGAGGCCAGATTTGAACTCAGGAAGATGAGTCTTCCTGCCTCCAATCTCAGCGCTCTGTGCACTATGGCGTCTCCTAGCTGTCCATAATAACTCACATTGCCATGCCATTATCATAAATTCAAGACTTGGGCAATGCCAGGGAAGCATCCTAGAATCCATGGCCAGTTGGGTCGCACCGTTTTTCCATATTTTCCTGCAACTAGGGTTTCCCTTCCATAACTCGTCCTCAGTGGAATCTTTTGCAGTTGAGTTAGCAGGGCCAGACAACAAGAGAAGAGGAGGAGCCAGCACTCTGGGGCGAGAACTTTCTCCTGAGTCTCCCGAAACAGAAACCAACTATTTCTCCCCACCCCCACCCCCACTCCATAACACCCATTTTCACTTCTCTAAAAAGGTTTTTCTGAAAAGTTGGGCTAGAGAATCCATCCACCATGATTGAAAATTTCCATCACACAGCATTCTTACATCAGAGGGGTGGGGGGAGGGAGGGGAAAATCATTGGAGATCCCAACACTTCTCAAAATGTGAGGACCAAGTAAGTGCAGGTGTGAGATCACAGTCCTAGAATTACAGAGCTAGAAAGAACCTTGGAGATGATAGAGACTGTTGGCCCAGTGGAAAGTTCACTGCCTCAGGAGCCAGGGTGGTACCTCTGATTCTTACTGGCTAAGTGACCTTAGGTAAGTCCTTTCCCACCTTGGAAACTTAGTTTCCTCAATCTGTAAAAAGAGGGGTTTGGACAAGAATCTATCCAGCTCAAAACTTTGTGACCTGGCTTTGAATCTTGTCTTTTCTCGCTGCTAGTTGTGTGATGGAAGGAAGTCACTGAACCTTTCTGAGCCTTGGTCTCCTCATCTGTAAACCAAGGGATTTAAGTGATATGGCCTTTGAAGCCTTTCCAGCTCCAAATCTGTGACCCGAGTTCAAATCCTGTCAGTGCCATTAATTGTGTGACCTTGGTTTTCTCATATGTAAAATGAAGGATCCAGAGTAGCCAGACTCCGAGGCCTCTTCTAACTCCAGAAACATCCCTTTCTATAAAGCCTTCCTCGCTCATTCACTCATCAGTTTGAGCTAATATGGGGCATTCAGCTCCACGCCAGAAGACCTTTCTGACAAATCAGCTAAACTCTCTGAAACCCAGCACCCTCCTGTAGAATAGGACAGCCACCCCTTTCTCTGCTGCTTGCCTCTTATTTGGAGGACAACACCAAACAAGGATGAGGTCGTGGCAGGTAGACACGGATGCAGAAAGGTGGTCACTGGCGAGATGAAGCAGCTGCCGGGAGTGGGGTCCCTGGCAGCGGAGAAGCCAGGTGCTGAAGGGGTCAGCTCCTGGGAGCCCCCCACCAGGAAGAGAAGCCGGACCCAAAGGGAACGGCAACTGTATGAGGACTGTCTAGCCGGAGAAAGGACTTCCAGGACCTGGGAACTGTCTTGGACACATCTGTATCCCGCATGAAGGCATCACAATCACTGTACATGGGACTCGTTTTTCCCATGGATACTGTGGGGCAGCTCCCCCTCGGTTAATGGGGCACGAGGAATGTTTATCTCTCATTTTTTTACCATGCCATCGAAGTAAATAACTTTGCTAAGAGCTAATTATGACAAATTCTCCTCCCATCAGCTGTTCTGGTCTCAGCTCCACAAACATCACGCCTTCCTTGGCATTCCTCGCCTCCCAAACCCTCTGGTGACCCTTCTCAGCCTCCTTTTGTGAATTGTCTTCCCCTAACAGATCACACAGTCCTTGAAGGGAGGAACTGTCTTTATTTTCTGTATTTGTATCCTTAGCACTTAGCACAGTGCCTTGCACATAGTAGGTGCTTAATAAATGTTTATTGACTACTAGTTCAATGTTAATGCAAGTGTCAGGAGTCAATGTTCAGGGCCCTCTCCTAGAATTTGTAAGAGTCATAGCTGCCTTTTGCCAATATAACTGATAAAATCAAGTGAGTTGGAAGAGTAAGTGAGAAGTGTTATTAGGATAAGCTAGGCTGGAACAGTTAAGTGCCCTAGTAGGTAGAGAGCTGGGCCTGGAATTAGGAAGATATGAGTTCAAATCCAGTTATAGATACTTAATAGCTATGTGACGCTGGGCAAGTCACTTAACCTCTGTTTGCCTCAGTTTCCTCAATTGTCAAATGGGGATAATAATAACATCTCTTTCTCAGGGTTATTGTAAGGATCAAATGAGATATTTGCACAGTGCCTGGCATATAGAAAATACTAGTTGTTGCTATTATTATTATTATTATTATTGTTACTATACTGTGGTTACCTTGTCTGGCAATAGATTTGCCTTCTCTATGCAATTGCAATGATTCACTGGAGAGATTTTTCTTTTAGTATTTTCCTCCTTCAGTGGCACAGTGCATAGACCACCAGGCCTGGAGTCAGGAAGACTCATCTTCCAGAGTTCAAATCCAGGCTCAGACACGTACTACTGTGTGACCCTAGGCAAATCAAATAATTCTGCTTGCTTCCATTTCCTCATCTGTAAAATGAGCTGGAGAAAGAAATAGCAAACCGCTCCAGTATTCTTGCCAAGAAAACCCCAAATGGGGTCACGAAGAGTCAGAAATGACCGAAAAATGGCTGAACAGCAGCAATACTTTGCTTCTTAGAAGCTTATTTCCAAGGAATTAGAATAGAGGAATTAACACTTCTTTTTTCTTTTTTCTTTTTTTGAGTGCCACAAGTCAGTCCTTTTTTCAAGTGTATTTCCTTTGCTAGTCTGACAAGATTCTTTGAGATAACTTTTGCAAGGTTGAATGCGTGGCTACTGATATCTAATGTATTATTGTAGCCATTATGAGTATGGAAGTTGACATTAAACAATGTGGATATTGCTTCCCTGGAATACTCACGCCATGTTCTTTGCTTTTTAAGACTTTTTAAAAATTTTAAGCAGATCTAGCCTATTTGCCTCAACAGGAAATGAGTTTAAACAGCTTTCCCAAGATTCTTTTAAATTTTTTTTCAATTAACAAAAATCTTTTTTTTTTTCTCTACAACTTTCTTCCCATTGGGGAAAGAAAGCAAAAGAAAATTCTTATACCAAGTGCGCATAGCCAAGCAAAACATCTTGCAATGGTCACATATACAAAACGTCCTAATCCATACCCTGCATGTACTGCCGGCTTCAAACAGGTGAAGAATGTATTTTGTAAACCTAAAAAGTTATAAGCATATGCTTCATCACTGGTGCTCTGGAATTATGGTTGATCATTGCATTGATCAAAGTTACAAAGTCTTGCAAACCTATTTTCCTCTATAATGTTGTTGTCATTGATAAATTGTTTCCCTAGTTATACCCTGCATCAGTTCATAGAGGTTCTCTCAGTTTTCTCAGAAATCGTCTATTTCATCATGGCACACGTCTGTTTCTTATGGCACAATAATATTCCACTAAATCGATATTCTTAAAGGTTTGGTCTATCTGCACCACTCCCTCAAACAATGCCCTACTGCCTCTAATATAAATTCAAATTTCATTGTTGAAATTTAAAGCCGTCCCCATTTCTTTCCCTCATATACTCTAGGGTCCAGCTGACTGGGTCGCTTGTTATTCCCGATCCACGACATTCTATCTGTCCCCAGTGCCTGCACCGTGCCCCTTCCTTGCACCCATCTCTTGGAATCCCTAATTCCCTTCAAGGTTTAGCTCAGATGATACTTCCTTCATGAAAGTCTTCCTGGTTTCCCCAGTGGCTCTTGCTCCTTCTTCCCCCCCCACAAATTATTTTGTTTTGTAGGTATTTTTAGTTTCCTTCTCCCTGTACACATTATCTCTGTTCCTTGAGGGCAGGGACCGTCTCATTGTTGTTTTTGTATCTCCAGCGCCCGACACAATCCCTAGCATACAGTAGGCACCTAATAAATGCTTGCTGTATTGATTGTAAGTTTTATTGGGTTATAATAAACCCTATTATTCATGTGAAGGGTAACTGGGTGGCCCAGGGGATAGAGCACTGGGATTGGAATCAGAAAGACTCATCTCCCTGAGCTCAAATCTGGACATTTCCTAACTGTGTGACCCTGGGCAAGTCGCTTAACCCTGTATACCTCAGTTCCTCATCTATAAAATAAGCTGGAGAAGGAAATGGCAAATCACTCCAGTATCTCTGCCAAGAAAACCCCAGAATGGGGTCACAAAGAGTCAGACATGACTGAAAGGACTAAACAACAACAATTACTCATGTGAGGATCAAATAATACAGTATAGAGAGAGCCCTTGTACTCTTGAAGTCCTATTAAATGTGACTAGTTATTTACTAGTTTAGCCAAACAAGGCAGATTTGCAGAGACACTTTCCAGGTTCCCGGCCTTCATTTCTCACACTTCTGGGAATAGATCTGAAACATGAAGGTTAGAGTGATTGAAAGTCTTAGTCTGAATAATAATTATAATTGATACAAATTGATGGCTGTTGCTCATGCAGTAGGATTGTCTGCTCATAACTTATAAAATTAGAAATAATATTGTATAAATGGGATATCTACATTAGAAGATGAATTTCTAAAATATCCAGAAATAACTATGTTGTGTCTTTCATTTTAAAATTTCTCATGGACAAAGATTCTTTCCCAAGCTACTCTTGAAAGTCTGTTTTGGTGTTTAATAACATATACCACCAAGAAAGTCCTCCTTGGATCTCACCTGATTCTCTCTCGTTGGGCCTAACTCCTCGCCCCCACCGAATTCCCTCTTGAAGGAAAACTAGGCATATCCTGAAGAGAATTATTAATACACAGTAACGACTCCTATTTGTTATTGTTGTTCAGTTATGTCTGACTCTTCATGACTCCATTTGGGGTTTTCTTGGCAAAGATACTAGAGTGGTTTACCATTTCCTTCTCCATATCATTTTACAGATGGAGAAACTGAGGCAAACAGGGTGAGATGTCTTGCCCAGGGTCACCCAGCTAGTAAGAGTCTGAGGCTGGATTTAAACTCATGTCTTCCTGACTCCAGGCTTGGTGCTCTATCCTCATACCCTAAAGGAGCTATTATTAGTATATAATAATAACTCATATACTTAATATGTACATTCATGTACTTAGTAAGTACATTCTTCACAACACCTGTTTGAAGCAGGCAGTACAAGTATTGGTATTATTATCCCAGTTTAACGGATGGGAATACTGGGGCTTAGAGATAAGTAACTCGTACGGTAAATTCATGCTGGATAATCTATTCTAACTGTACTTCTCTTCTCCCTGATAAATACCCCCGACTCCTCTGACCCTTTCTCATTAGTCTTCCAAATGCCTTTCCTTCTGATAATAAAAACTGTCTGATGTTGAGGCAGGAAAGTGCATCTTTCAGGGAGCTGCAGGTCTAAAACTTTTCTTGGAATAGGAGGTAAATTCGAAAAACTTAATTCTAAGAATTTAAAAATATCCATCTCAGTTTTCTATCAGTCAGTCAAAAGGGCCTGTATGCATTCTCAATTCCACTATTCTCCGCTGAAGTCTTCTAGCAAGGGGAAATGTAGTCAGCCCCCTGTTAAACGCTCCTGGAGGAGGGACTCCGAAGCACTTTGGCAAACAGTTGGCACTAGGACTTTCCTCCACTGCCCTCTTTGGATTTCAGGCCTATTCCCACTGATATGAGCAATGAATGTATGCCCTAGACTTAAGCCAGGATATGTGAGCAATGTCTATCTATCATGGTAAAAAAATTAACAAATTTGTACATCAGGATTATATTTTTACTTTGTCCAAATGAATCAAAATGAAGATATTTTGCTGGATTGAAGTCACTAGCAAGCATGGAGCAAATGAAAATGGGTTTGAATTTTCACAAGAGGTTTGAATTTCACATGTCTTGCATTTTCAAGCAGGGCTCTAGACATAATCAATGTTTTTCCATACTATTACCTATAATCGAGGCATAGATAGTCTTACACTAACCCTTCAGGAAAGATGTGGCCTTGGGCAAGTCGCTGCTTCTCCCTGAGGGTCTCAGTTTTCCCCTTGAAAGAATGGGGTAGTTAGGCAAGATATACAAAATCTCTTCTAGCCTTCTCAGTCTACACCAGAACTAAAGACAGACAAGACCCCATTCGTGGATTTTCTTTTCTGTTGTTCTGTGATCCATCCACTGGGGCAGCTAGGTGGTGCAGTCGATAGAGCTTGGAGTCAGGAAGCCTCATCTTCTTGAATTCAAATCCAGCCTCAGACACTGCCTAGCTGTGTGACCCTGGGCAAGTCACCTGACCTTGTTTGCCTCAGTTTCCTCATCTGTCAAATGAGCTGGAGAAGGAAATGGCAAACCCCTCCAGTATCCCTGCCAAGAAAATCCCAAATGGAGTCATGAAGAGTTGGGCATGACTACACAGTAACTACCTTAGTCAGTATTCCATCCTTAGTAGAACGTCTGTCTAAAAGAGAAAGTTGAAAGGCTTACCTCTCCTTGCAGATGCTCTCTCAGATGAGTTTTCTTATTTGATTAAGCAGTGAGCCTGAACCAGCAGACCAAGGGAACAGTTAATCACTGAGTCCCCTTGGCTGCAGACTTGGAGACTTCTGAAACAAATCCTGATGCTACTTCCTTTTCTTGCCAACTTTTTGAAGGAGGTACAATCACCAAGTGGCTGAAAATCTGACCAAAGAGAGAGATGAGGACGAGTTCCCCTTTCTGGTGGGCCAAAACTGAACAGCTCCCATGCACTTAATAACACATCAACTTTGATTGTAGTTACTGGTTTACATGACTCACTGCTCACCACCCGCATCCGCTCCTAAAATATTATAAACTTCCCCAGGAAGGTCACATTGAAAAGCTGCGTTATTTCTCATCTGTGTATCCCTCACACATTGGCATGGTGTCTTGTATGTAGCATACATCTTCACTGAGTTGAATTGAACAAACTAGTGTCCTCAAATTTAGAATCCCCTCAATACACCAAAAGTCTTTCTGAAAACAGCCTCTCCTCTGTTCTCTCCTTGAACGAAATATCACTCATTCTGTGTAGTTTGTACATAATTAGATAACACGAAGACATGTTGTTTCCCTTCATAGAATCTAAGTTCCCTGAGGACAGGGTCTATGTAATTTTGCCTCTCTATCTCCATTGCTTGGCACATAATAGGACTTTAATAATAAATGCTTATTGATTGAGAATATTGAATCCTAGATCCAGAGCTCTCGCTCTCATTCTCTCTCTCTCTTCTCTTTCTCTCTCTTCTCTTTCTCTTTCTCTTTCTTCTCTCTTTCTCTCTTTCTCTCTCTCTCTCTCTCTCTCTCTCTCTCTCTCTCTCTCTCTCTCTCACACACACACACACACAGACACACCCTCTCTCTCTCCCAACAAATGAGGAAGGTCATGTAAGTAACAAGTACCACATGATTATGCACTTTCAACAGAGAAAGGGGCCCCTGAAAATCCTTAGACTTCCACAGAGGTTGACTTCCCAGCACCTGAAAAACCAGGTAGTAGAAAACATGTTGAACTTTTAGAGTGAGGGAGTACCTGAGTTCAAATCCCACCTCTACTATTTACCTCTTATGTGACTTTTAAAGCTTAATATTGCACCAAAACTTTTGGAACACCCGTGTACCAGGGGATCACCTACTGAGATTTGAAAGGAACATCTGAGTGCATCTTTATTTGTTTTGCAGACGAGAGCACTGAGGCATCTGGAGGTTAAATGACCTGCGTCTCTGAAAGTCAGGCATTTTATCTCATTTTCTTTTAGCAAATACACTTGTTAACAAGAACGAAGCCGTCAGCTAATGCTGGCCTATCTGCTATGAGCTTGGAGGCCAGATCAGTAAGGAAGGAGCATCAGGGAAAGCCTGAGCTCCTAAGAGAGCAGGACATCCAGCATAGAATCAAATATTTGGTGCTCCAGGTAAAGAAAAACTCGGAGTTGCTTTCCTTCCCCAGCGCTGAACCCTGTGGCCACTTTGTCAAAGTACCCCTAGTAACCTCTGTGGGCCCTTTAACCTTCTGTCCTTGACTTTCTATCTGGAAGCCTGTATGGACTAAGAAGGTAGATAGTTCCAGAGATTCTAACAGATGACTCATCCCACTAAAAGATGTTCCCGCCTGGTTTGAGTGTAGCAGGTACACACTGATCCATGGACATGTGGGTGCTGAGGACAGACTTCCCTCATGCGTGCCAACACCTCAGACCCTACTACCTGGGATGGATGTTGGCAGGAGGCGATGGCCTGGGTCATCTAGAAATGGGAGCCGCCACGCTATCCGTAGGAATCCCTGTAGAAAATATATTGACTTGGGAGCAGCTAGGTGGTGCAGTGGCACTCTGGCCTTGGAGTCAGGAGGACCTGAGTTCAAATGTGGTCTCTGACACGTGACACTTAATAGCTGTGTGACCCTGGGCAACTCACTTAACGCCGATTGCCTCACCAAAAAAAAAAAGCAAACATATATATATATATATGTGTGTGTGTGTATAATCAACTTGGAAAACTACATATTACCATTATGTTCTATTGCATCTTTATTTCTTTTGTTAAATATTTCCTAATTGCATTTTAATCTGCCAGCGGCTCTGGGTTTGATACCGCTGGTATGGGTTATGACAACTCACTTGCTACAATTTGCACTAGAAACTATATTCAAAGACCCTGCTTCTGTAGCTTAGTGACTCTGGTCAAGTCACTAAACCTCCCTGGGCCTCAGTTTTCTCATCTGTAAAAACAAGGGGAATAGACGAGCTGGTCTCTGAGGTCCCTTTCAACTCTAAACCTATGATCCTATGTGTGAACGGCATCTAAAATGTGAAATGTTTTATCTTGGCAGCCATAATTAGGGGGAGAGGGTCAGAGCTTGTGATTTCACTGGTATGGGAAAACTCCTGAGTTAGGAAAATTGTTCTATCAATGCAGGTTGGCACCTTCTAGTCTTAGGATGCTCAAGGGGCAGCTAGGTGGTGCAGTGGATAGAGCACCAGCCTTGAAGTCAGGAGGACCTGAGTTCAAATCCAGCCTCAGACCAAACTCTTGACACTTACTAGCTGTGTGACCCTGGGCAAGTCACTTAACCCCAATTGCTTTAAAAAAAAAAAAGAAGAAGAAGAAGAAGAAGGATACTCATAGCAGTCTGAGGTTAAGGGCCTTGCTCAGGCTCATACAGCCAATAAGTGTCAAAAGTGGGACTCGAGGGGGCAGAGCCAAGATGGCGGAGGGAAA